ACGCCTCCCGCGCGCGCTTCCATCTGCTTCATTGATTATTTACAACTCCCATCTATTTTATCATCTTTATTATTACTTGATCAAGCAGGGTCATAAACCGACCACAACTGAGGGCAAAATGCCACTGAAAGTGTCTAAAATACTGTAGATGTTTGAGGAGAGTTGAATTCTCGTCGTTTAGTCTAACATTTGATGTATAAGTTATAAAATACTCTGTTTTTTGTTGTTGTTGTGCACTTAAAAATTGTGGTGTGCTTATCTTAACTCTTTGCTGGTCTGTCATAATTGATTTGCATGTGCACGCTATTCTTAAAGAAAAAAAATGAATTAATATTCTTTCATCAAAATATATATTGAATAACTAGAATAACTTCGCCACCTCTGAAACAACTTTTCCCTGTGACTGAATGTCTCCAGGCTCTCTTATTATTCAACCACCTGTTACTTGAATACATTTTTCACCATTCAAACAATTGCCGATGGAAGAAAATCAAGCCTTGTCCTGCATTGTTTCCTCATTGAAAGTAGTAGTAGTAGTTATGGAAGTAAAACGAATGCCGTTGATTGAGTAATGGTGGGTTAAGATCACTACTTTTTGTGTCAAATCGAATCCAGACGGTCCAGACTCTTTGAAGTGCTTTTAAAGTAAACTCTCATTTTATCTTTTTCCCCTCTGCTATATAATGCCGATTGCCGACACATCTAACTAAAGCCCAGTTTTACTCCACATCCCTTCGGTTTACATTTACAGTAGTAGATGCAAAATTGGTACCCAAATGGATGGTTGCTATACAAATAGCTTGTTTTGCATGCTTGGTTATGCTGATTCAATCTAAGTGTGTGACATGCTGTAATTCGTTTAAAAAAAAAATCGTTTTTGGCAATGCTTTATTATACTTGCATTTTATGTGCATATGATTCATATTAACTGGAAGACTATGAAATATTTGTACGTCTTAAAACTAATTGGTGACACTTTACAATAAGGTTCATTAGTTAACCTTAGTTAATTTATTAACTAACAACTAGCAGTACATTTGTTACAGTAATTGTTTATTAGTTAATTTAATAAAAATATAGCTATTTATTGTTTTTTCATGTTAGTTCACAGTGCATTAACTAATGTTAACAAATACAACCTTTGATTTTAACAATGTATAAGTAAATGTTGAAATTAATATTAACTAAGATTAATAAATGCTGAAGAAGATTTGTTCATTCATTCTATTTGTCACACCGCAGGAAAATGAGATGGTGCGAAACATAAAATAAATAAGTTATGGATCTTTAGATATACACTTTACCTTGTACATAACCATCTTTTTTTTTAATCATGAGCATGTTATATGTCATCTACTCGCATGCTTAAGATGCCAGTGTCTGTGTTTCAGGCATAACAGTTGGGAACCTCAGGAAAACCTTCTTGACCCGAGACTATTGGCAGCGTTTAACAAGAGGTAAGAGGTTTCTCCCATTGGACGAGCAGGCCTGTGTGTGAGAGAGACGCCCCCTTTTCTCCATGTGCAAACAATATGGGCTGCAACGCTTGGGAGGGTGTAAATGGGGCTCCATTCACAGGCCATTCAGGGGCTGCAGACGTGTCCAGGCTCACGAGGGCCTCTGCAGACCGACTGAAAATCAAACATCGTTAACATTTTTAACACTTAACATTTTCAGCAGAACTAGTTTTCTATGTCAGCATTTCGGTTTCACAGTTTATAAAGAATCCGTGTGAAACCAGACTTGGATTACACGAGAAACATAACCACATGTTGACACCAACTTCCTACTGTTAAGTTCAAACTAGAATTTTACAATTTTGTAAGGATATTTGTTGAAATATGGCTCGGGTCTATCCTTTTTTTCCTCCTGTTTTAACGTTTGTCACTGGAAAAACATAAGTCTGATCACTTAAAATTACATTTGAGGTATCATTCATGTCTGGCACAAATGATGATGATTTTTTTTTTTTTTTTTTTAGAAAACACCACTTTTTGCTAACGCATCCACCAAAAACAAAAGAAATGTGATGTTTTTAGGCCAAACTAGAACAAAAGAGCCTTCTGACAGGAAGTAAGGAGAAAGAACAGGAAGTGAGGACGAGTAAATGTTCATTCATAAAAACAGGAAATGAATTTCACAATCGGCACCCACTGTTTTTTGCCGTTTTTGATATGTTTGCCAAGACAGTTTGTTTAAAAAAAATAATAATAATAATAACCTTGTACAATATACAGCAGTCAACATTTGAAGTGGATCAAAACCTTTCATCAAAGTTATATATTGAATAACTATATATAGAATAACTTCGCCACCTCTGAAACAAGGTTCTTGTCTTGTTCTTGTCTTTTTTGATCCACTTCAAAAGTTGACTACTGTATATAAACCTGCGTAATGGCTGTAATGGTCATATATAATACAAGTTCATGATAGCAAAGACAGCAGGATAAACAATTTAATTGAACATAAATATTGCAAATTTGTAAGTTTTGCATTTTTA